GCTCATGGCCACCTCAAACTGCAGCTTCTTCTGAACATCCAGTGCTTTCTTCTGATTTCCACAGGCACCCTCCCCCACTCCACAGACACATAAAAACAACAGCAAAGTAAATAAATAAAAAGAGTAGGCCTGGCTGGGCGGTGGTGGCGCAAGCATTTAATCCCAGCACTTGGGAGACGGGTAGGCAGATCTCTGTGAGTTTGAAGCCAGCCTGGTGTATATAGTGAGAACCAGGACAGCCAGGGCTACACAGAGGAACCCTGTCTAAAAAACAGACAAACAAAACAAAGGACAAGGCTTGACTTACCTTTGCTCTGAGCAGCTCTGTGCCCAGCTGTACCCAGGGTCACTTGTTTATATTTATCATCAGGTATACCACATAGTACCCAAATTGTTTTTCTATTCTATTCCCCTCCAGTTGTATTGCTGGCTTTGAGAGGTGTCCCCTGTGAGCACTGTGTCCCCAACATAGGCTTAGCAGGCTCATAAGTATTTGTTAAATGAATGAGATGATTTGTCTTTTTGAACTATTTGAGAGTGAGATTGACCAGAAGTTCCAGGCATTTTAGAACCAAATGGAATTATCTGGTTGTGATGGCGCACACCTTTAATCCCAGTACTTGGGAGGCAGAGCAGGTGACTCTCTGAGCTCAAGACCAGCCTGGTCTACACAGTGAGCCTGTCACACATACACACACAAATTAGTTTACTAGATGGGATATACATCCAAGCCTGGGAAACCAGATAAATTCTTTAGAGATGATGCCTGTACCATCAAAAGGATGACAATGTTCTGTTGATAGAAGGAATATAGAGTTAAGAATAAAGTCGAGGGAAAGAGCCTGGTATGTGCCGGAGATTTAGGTCCTCAAGGACTAGTGACTACGGGAGGCTGGGTTACCGAGATACATAGTCTTTAATGTGCAGTGGCTCTTCACTGGTCCTCCCGTGTGCTGAGCCCTAACAGTAAGAGATGAACTGGCTCTTGACTTTGTGAGTTATCCAAAGGGCACTTTATCTTAGAGGTTAATGGACACATGATGTGTTTGAGAACAGTATCTTTCCTAGGAACTGGAAAAGTCTCTATTTGTAACCCAACAGAGACTAGAGAGCTACTAGAATTTTAAGGTAACACAAGTTCATATTTATGTTACATTTATGCGCACACAGTTGACATAGTGCTTTCATGTTTCCATTCTTTTTGTTGTTGTTTTTTGGGACAGGGTTTATCTGTGTAGCTTTGGAGCCTGTCCTGGAACTCGCCCTGTAGACCAGGTTGGCTTTAAATTCACAGAGATCCGCCTGCCTCTTCCCCCCCGAGTGCTGGGATTAAAGGTGTGTGCCACCACCGCCTGGCCTGTTTCTATTCTTACTGTAGGTCAGTTGTGACAAGCCACACGGGTTGGCCCTATAAGTAGCATGGTGCAGGTCACATCTTATTTGCAGATGGAGAATTGATTGGAAGAGAACTGAAGGGAAGCCCAAGTAGGAAGGTGGCTTTGCTTCTCTGATGCAGGCCAGTGATGGTGCTGAGCTAGCCTAACTGGGCTATGGCCATGGAGATGGAGGGGGACTCTGGAGGTGAAGCCACAGATTGAGCAAAAAGTAGGAATTAAAAGATACTTTCCATTGCCAGGTGTGGTGGTGCATGCCTGCAATCCACTACTGGGGAGACTGAGGCTGGAGGACTGTTGTGAGCTGGAGCCAATCTGTCCTCCACAGAGAGTACTGGCCAGCCAAGACTACTTCCCAAGGCTGTGTCAACACAAAACAGAAACATAGACCATCACCAATCAACAGCACACCCAGGGTTCTGGTGCTGGCTGTTGGTATAGTGGTTGAGGTCTGGACTGGAGATGTTTGAAGAGGGAGGACTGCAGTATTGAGCATGTTAAGGTGGGACATGTGTGACCTCTGGTAGGAAGTGTCCAAGAGCAGCAGGAAAGAGCCTGGTTTATTTTTGAATTCAAAAGAAACTTTCTGATATAGCCCATCACTGACTCCTTCCTTGTTTTTGATCTATAGACCCAGCTTATGGTGATGCTGGTATATCTGAGAGAGAGATCTGGGGAAGGAGGAGGAATATGGGCCAGGAGAGGAAGGGGCATTGGCAGTAGGATTTCCTGGAGATGCCCAACTTTGAAGTGTTCTGGGATTGGCAAGTCCTACTGTTACCACTGGGTGGCAGTAGTGCTTTATACAAGTGGTGCATAGCCTAGGGGCGCTGGGCCTTTCTGTCTGATGAGTGTTTGACTCCACAATTGACCCTTGAGTGCCACAGAAGTGCTTACAAGTCAGGCAGGAGCATGTGATCCATTCCCAAAGATGTTAAGTTGTCCTGGAGTGAACCAGGTAGGCCACTGACCCAGAGCCTTCTAGGGAGGGGCCCCTGGCCAATCAGACTGGGTCTTTCCTCCCTACAGGCTGCCTCTACACAGGGGTTGGTAATAAACAAGAAGGGGTGTGGTCACATGGCCAGCCTGCTTGGACATATGACAAAGGAATGAGGTCCCTATGTCTTTGTGCTAGTAGACGGTGCAGGTGCCCGTGTACTCAGAGCAGGAGTACCAACTCTACCTTCACGACGACGCATGGACTAAGGCAGAGACTGACCACCTTTTCGACCTCAGCCGCCGATTTGATCTGCGCTTTGTAGTTATTCATGATCGGTATGACCACCAGCAGTTCAAGGTGAGCTGGTGTGCATTTGCCAAGTGCCCAGCCCTCCTGCCATCCCTTCCACGTGCTCCTCAGTGTTCATCCCTATGTGTTCTGATTCTCAGAAACGTTCTGTAGAGGATTTGAAAGAGAGGTACTACCATATTTGTGCCAAACTTGCCAATGTCAGGGCTGTGCCGGGCACAGACCTCAAAATACCAGTATTTGATGCTGGGCATGAGAGACGGCGGAAGGAACAGTTGGAGCGGCTTTATAACCGGACCCCAGAACAGGTTCATGACCTTTCCCCGTACCTGAAACCCTTTGCCTTCCTACCCTCCGTGGCCTCAACTCTCACCTCTAGGCTCCTCCACCTTCAGCCCATTCCCATGGTTCCCCTGTTCTTCCCTCCCTGCAGTTTCCTTACCTCTGGTTCCCTCATAGATAACCTAGTGTCCTTCAGCTCCCTGGCTACCCTGCTTCCACACAGCCGCCATACATGCCAAAGCATTTCTTGGTTTTGCAGGTGGCAGAGGAAGAGTACCTGCTACAGGAGCTTCGTAAGATTGAGGCCAGGAAAAAAGAGCGGGAAAAACGCAGCCAAGACCTGCAGAAGCTGATTACAGCAGCAGACACCACCGCAGAGCAGCGGCGCACAGAACGCAAGGCCCCCAAGAAAAAGCTACCCCAGAAGAAGGAGGCTGAGAAGCCGGTATGGAGGCTGACTTCCATATGGAGGTTATCTGGCACAGCTTCAAGTGGGCATTCTGAGAGTACCTTGAGTCAGTGGGTCCCTGGGCCACTCCCTGTGACACCTTAGGCTCTCTAACTCTTCCCCCAGGCTGTTCCTGAGACTGCAGGCATCAAGTTTCCAGATTTTAAGTCGGCAGGTGTCACACTGCGGAGCCAGCGCGTGAGTTACCTCCTTCGGTGTTTCCGCCCTGGGCTCCCAATGGCCTCAGTGCTACAGCTGCCAAGGCTAAAGCAATAGGAGAGGGGGCTGTGAAGAGGTGGCCTCGCCGTAATCTCATGGCATGGCCAGGCCAAGGTTGCCTTTATTAGTCTCCACTTCTCAGCTTGTTCCGTTTTAGCCATAGCTACTTGAAGAGGTTACCCATGAGCCTCACTGGTGAACCCCCTTCTCCCTAAGCCTCATCAAGGGGTGTGGGACTTAGCTGACTGTCATTGCAGATGAAGCTGCCCAGCTCTGTGGGTCAGAAGAAGATCAAGGCGCTGGAACAGATGCTGCTGGAGCTTGGAGTGGGTGAGTGACTCCGAACCTCATGGGATAGCTAGCTCCCTCTCCCGGGGGCTGTGCAAGGAGGGCAGTTCATACTGCAAGCCTTCAACCACAGTTGGGCTTTGTCTTGCCTGCAGAGCTGAGCCCCACCCCCACAGAGGAGCTGGTGCATATGTTCAATGAGTTGCGGAGTGACCTGGTGTTACTGTACGAGCTCAAGCAGGCCTGTGCCAACTGTGAATACGAGCTACAGATGCTGCGGCACCGGCATGAGGCCCTGGCTCGGGCAGGAGTGCTGGGGGGCCCTGCCACACCAGCAGTGGGACCAACCCCAGCCTCTGCTGAGCCAGCGGTGTCTGAATCTGGACTTGGCCTTGACCCCACCAAGGACACCATCATTGATGTAGTGGGTGCACCCCTCACACCCAATTCGGTAAGAGCGCCTGGGCAGGCTTGGGGGAGCATGCCTTGACTGTGTAGGAGAATGCATGTATGTACAGCCTTCAGGAGAATGGTTGCCATTGTGAGGGGAGAGGCTGAGGACAGGAGTAGGTTTAGGTTAACTACTGGGCCTCTTCTCTGAGAATGACAGGCACTAAACCTTGAGTCACACCTCAGAGGCCACTAACCTCAACACTTTTTGTCTCTTCAGCGGAAACGACGGGAATCGGCCTCCAGCTCTTCTTCTGTGAAGAAAGCCAAGAAACCATGAAGGGGCCACTAGGGTTGGGGGTATGGTGTAAACAGAGCTGTTACACTGACTGGCTGATTCTATTTCCTTACCTCATATCCTTGGCTGTGGTGACAGGCTGATAGACTGATCACTACAATCAGTTCCTAAACGCTTGCTTGCAATGCCCACATTCAGGCCCTTCACCATTTTTCTGTTGCCTAGACTCCTTACCTGGACACCTGTGTTTGTATTTAGACGGCCTTACACAGCAGGGGACTCAGATAGCAGCAGTTTTGCCAGGTCCTTTTGCCTCCTGCTCCCAGTCTATGCATCCTCAATGAAGGCATCAAAGGTACTGCAGTGTCAGCGGCTCTGAATGGAGATGAAGCCTGGAGCCTTACACACAAGGATGGCTCCTGCACACTAGGACCTTGTTTCCCCAACTTTATTCAGTGGCACGTTCACAGCAGGGATGGGGGTGGACACAAGGTGGGACCTGATCTGTCCTGGAGCCCTGGGGGCACCACACACCATGCACTATGGATGGGAGGGGGGACAGGAGGGACTCGGTGGCCCCAGCAGAAGCCTGTGTACCAGGGAGAAGGCAGTGAGTACCTGGGTTCCCCCTAGCCCAGGCCCATAATGGCAGGGGCTAATACTGGGCGGAGACTGAGGAGTGGGAGGGGGTGGGGCACAAAGTGTCTGCTCCAGAGGGGCCAAGTGGCCAAGCCCTTACCCAGGGCACAAGCCCATAGGGCAGCTGGGGGACACTCTGGGCGCAGAGCTGTGCCACTCTCCCTTTTCCCTCTGGTGAGGGAGAGGAGGATTCTGGTTTGGGCCAAGCAGCTACCCTGTCCTGCCCCATCCTGTCCTCTGCCAATCAGAAGGGCTTTGATGTCTGCTTGAAGATGAAACCTCTGTAAGCCAATGTCTTCATGATGTTGGCAATATTCTTGCAGTCATCTAGAGAGAAGAGAAGACATTTAGACAGGGTCAGACTCAGGAGCCAAGGGCTTAAGGGGGACATTGGCTCTGGTGGCAACATCTCTAGCTTTGAGTTGGGCTTGGTGATACTGGGCCTACAGGAAGCCTGGACTCAATGCTTCTCAGTCCCATAATTCATGCTGGAAATTGGCCTATCCCAGCCCCAGTGGTGATGTATGGGCGCCGTCGCAGTAAGAAAAAGGCAGAGTAAATGTGTAATTTCTCCCTTGACGGCCCCTGGCCGCTGGGCGATCCTTCTTGTTGCTGCCGCGTGGGGACAGCCTGTCCGCCACACTCCGTCTTCCCGCCACCCGCCTTGATGTCTCCATCTCATTACTGTGCGGCCATTCATCACACCCACGGCCAGGGTGACTTTGTGGCACTTGTATGTGTGTCGGGGAGACTGTGGTCCAGGCCATACTCAACCGATGACAAGACACAAGACTTGGCATGGCTGTGCCAGAATCCTGGGAAACACCTGTTCTGGATCTCTGTCTCCATGTAGCTCCAGACAGGCTGGGGAAGGCCCTGGTTCATGTGCTGTCCGCCCTACCAGACACCCACTAGTCAACCTACATCCTGCCTCTGTCCCAGGAGGCTGGCTGCTGGCCACCTTCTGGGATCTTGTGTCTGCTCAAATACCAGGTTAAATAGCCTGTATGTATCGGACCCTACCAGTTTCTCTGGTACTGGCCTCTGAAAAAAACTCCATGCTGTAAGCTAATGTGGAAGCCTAGAGGCTATAGGGACTCTTAAGGACTTGGCCAGGACAGGACTTGCTCCATTTCTAGATACACGAAGGAGCTTGACCTAAAAAAACATTGGTTCTCAAGCTCTGGGTCATGACCCCTCTGGGGTCACATATCAGATACCCTGCATATCAGATATTTACATTATAATTCATAACAGCAAAATTACTATGAAAATAACTATGAAGTAGCAACTTAATAATTTTATGGTTGGGGGTCACCACAACATGAGGAACTGTACTAAAGGGTTGCAGTGTTAGGAAGGTTGAGAACCCCTGCAACAGAGGATGTCTAGTACAGAAACCACCCATCTACCTGTTTTTGTTGTTCAGCCTCCCAGAGCAGTCCCCAGCTGTCTCCTTTGATTTCTCTCCCACCTCCGTTCCTTATCCATGGGTCATAGCTATGGCCTCAGCCACTACCCTGTCCTCATTAGATGGATGCTGTGTGCAGAAGTACCATACACTGATGGCATAATCAAATGAGGGGTGCTGGTGAGGTCAGGAGGGCTCTGAATCTTTTCCTTCCATTGAGCCTCTGTTTGCCCTCACCCAAGACTGCAGCCTAGGGGACCCCTGTACCCTCTAAGCTAAGAGTCTCATTAATCAAGGGCCGAGGGCAGGCCAATCAGATGGGATCCTGTCTCAGAAGAATTCAATATGTATATACCTGCAGTGGATGGAAGTGTGGAGGTGATACCCTATTTCCCTAGGGACTCAGGAAGCCAAGAGGGCTGATCTGCTCCGAGGCAGAATGGGGAGAAGACAGATGGGTGGGTAGTGGCGGCCATGGCAACTCCAGACATGACCCATCCCCGTGGTTTATGGGCCGGACACGCGCCCCGCTCAGCTGAGGCCCTGTCATTTGTCTCCCTTAGTGAGTACGCCAGTACTGTGGGGGTAAAGGGGAGAAGGAGGGGTTATGACAGGAGAAGCTAGGCAGCTGACGGGAAGAGGACAGAAGGGACCTGGAGAGTTAGGGTGGGGCCAGATGCCATGAGCATTGGTGAGAGTTGGGGGAACCTGGGATAGAGGCATATTCTTCCCAAACAAACCCAGCCCTGCCAGAGTACCTCAAATCTTTCCTGTCTTCAGCACTCTGGAGACCATGGCCGCTGTGCATATTAAGAATAAGTCCCCTCGTTATCTGCAATTACCCAGCGGCCACACACCTCATTTCTTCTAGCAGAAAAGAAAATTAGTTTTCTATTGACTTCATCTGGCTCCTCCCTCATTGCTGGACAAATCACTCAATCTGCCTCCCCTGGCCCAAGTAAATGTCCTAGCCTAGCCCCCCAGGCCACCAGTGAGCAAATGCTGATTTACCTGTGCTGGGAGGTGGCTGCATATCTCAGTCAGTCTTGACCTCTCCCCATGCCATGCACCCAAATCATAAGCTCTGGATGCTCCTGAAGGCCGCCCTCCCCAACCAGGACTTCTCTCCAATCCCACCACAAACTCAAATGCTCCCAACAGTTCTCTCCAGATAAACAGATAAAACACCCCAGACACTGGATATTCTCCCCAAGTTTCCTCTTCCTCCTCAGGCATCCTCAAATCAGCAAACGGCATTGTATGCAGTCCACTCAAAACTCCCGAGAGGTAAGCACCTCACCCACTGGCCAGATTTCACTAGGTATGAAACCTGCGGATTTGGTTTCCTTATGCTGTAATCCAGTGGTTCTCAACTTGTGGGTCTTGACCAATAGAAAACATATTTCTGATGGTATTAGGAAATGAGACACTGCTCAGTAGCAAAATAGCAATAAAAATAATTTTATGACTGGGGTGTCACTACAACATGAGGGACTGTATTAAAGAGTCTCAGCATTAGGAAGATTGAGGACGACTGCTAATCAATGCTTCCACTTTCCAGCAGCCAGTCACCTCTAAGTCCACATCCTGTCTTATGTCCTTTCCTCTTTAAATTCCTTCATACTTGCTGTCTCTTTTTTTTTTTTTTTTCACAATGTAGCGCTGGGTGGCCTGGAACTCAAGAGATCTGTTTCTGCCTCTCAGTGCTTGGGAGTAAAGGTGTGCACTAACATGCTTGATTAGTCTACAGATACATACACATGTATTTTAACTGTGTGCATGCCTCATAGGACAACTTGTGGGAGTTAGTTCTCTCCTTCTTAGTGGGTCTTAGAGATCAAACTCAGCTCAGATGGTGACAGGCATCTCTCTCATCCTGCACGTTCCCCTTTTCTTTGAATAGTTTCTGGGGCTTAAACCTAGAGCTGTGTACATGCAAGGCAAGCACTCTACTACATAAACTCAAACTTTCTATAGATGAGGATAACCCTGACCTTGAACTCTTGGTCCTCTTGAGTGCTACAGTTACAGGTATGTGTCATCATACCTAGCTCTCAGCCTCTTTTTTTTTTAAAATATTTATTTATTTATTATGTATACAATATTCTGTCTGTGTGTATGCCTGCAGGCCAGAAGAGGGTACCAGACCTCATTACAAATGGTTGTGAGTCACCATGTGGTTGCTGGGAATTGAACTCAGGACCTTTAGAAGAGCAGGCAATGCTCTTAACCTCTGAGCCATCTCTCCAGTCCTCTCAGCCTCCTTTTTTTACTTTTTGACACAGGGCCTCATTAATTGACCAAGGGAGGCTTGAATTCACTCAGTTGCCTGGCAGTTCTTGAACCACAATCTTCCGGCTTCAGCTTCACTGTAGCTGGGACTACAGGTCAGTGTGATAAGGCCTGGCAAATCTTTAATGTAACTCAAAGTCTTGGCAAAAACTGATCCTTGCTGGGCTGGACGGTGATAGCACACACCTTTAATCCCAGCAGGCAGGAGGCAAGGGCAGGTGGATCTCTGTGAGTTCGAAGCCAGCCTGGTCTACAAGAGCTAGTTCTAGAACAGGCTCCAAAGCTACAGAGAAACCCTGTCTCGAACCCCCCCACCCCATTAAAACAAAAACAGAAACAAAAAAAACTCTGATCCCTGCTGCTTTCTGGACTCACCCCTTTAAACTGCCCCCAGATTCCTACACTACAACCTCAAAGAGCAGCTACTATTTCTGGAAATGTCAAAGCAAGGCGTCATACAAACCCATTACAGTTTGGAATGTCCGCAAATGCTTTGTTTTTCTAGCCCAGGCTCCTCCACTAGGGGTGGTAACAGTCACAGCACCACAGTTAACACTGAACAAGGTGCAACCTCCTGCATCTTGGCCTAGCTCCCCCCCCCCCCCGACCGGGGTTCTCTGTAGCTTTGGAGCCTGTCCTGGAACAGCTCTTGTAGACCAGGCTGGCCTTGAACTCACAGAGATTCGCCTGCTTCTGCCTTCTGAGTGCTGGGATTAAAGGTGTGTGCCACCACCGCTCAGCTTTGCCTAGCTTCTTTATGTGGTATGCAGGTGTGCTGGTGAGCTGATGACCCAATGGTGATTGTGTATGACTCAGATGGCAGACTGGCTGATACACATGATGAAACTAATGTCCTTCACTATGTAGACTCACTTATGGTCCTATTTATGGCAGATCCTGAGGTCTAATTGTGGTGACTATTATGGAGACTCAAAGCGATGAGGAAAAACTGCCCCCGGTCACCATCCACATTGGCTGTTACAGACTGCAAAGCCAGGGTTCTTCCCCCAACTTGTAAAGTTTCTTTGTTGTTGTTCCATGTATATAGGGGTGTATTCAGAGGATAACTTGTGGGGTCATTTCTCTCTTTGCACCATGTGGGTTCCTGGGAATAGGGAAGGGAGAGATAGACTTGAAGCTCTGAGACCATTTGGGGTAGCTGGCAGCTCTGCCTTTTCAGCACCTCTTGCAGAGCTAATCAGGCCAGTTCAAGGGTGCCATGACACGGGATGATAGGGCACTGTTGTGTCCATAATGGAGGCCTTTAAGCATATGTCTTTACTTTTTAAGTTCTAGAAAGCTAGCGACATCAGCTTGAGAACTTTTTTTTAAAGGGAAATTCATATTCTTAGAGTTAGAAATATTTTTATGTTGACAAGACGAGAATGGAAGAGTAACAGCTATACAAATCCTTGGAAGGGTGGGTAGGGGAAACACCTAGCAAGGAAGGCTAAGTCTGTTAGATGTCCCCAAAGTCATTAGAGCTGCTTAGTAAAGCAGCTGCTACTGAGATGGCACTGCATGCTTGTTGGTTACACTGGTGTGGGAACTCAAGAGTAGAGGACAGGAAATTGGAACAGGCCAGAAAGTCTACCAAGGGTTTCATTCATGTGCTCACTTTGTC